ATTGAGGAGGTAGACGGTCGTCATGACCACCTCTACCCAAAACCTCTCGAGCATCCCAACAGTCATCAGCAGTGATCTTGTTGTCACGACTTGGTCTGGTTCCGGCGCTCCACCATCCCGTTTTGCTGGAGGGAGTAGGGCGCCGTTAAGTGCCGATGCACGCCGAGCTCGTCGCAGTACTTGTCGGGGTCAATTCTTCACCTCAGTTCATGCGCAGCACTCGCATCTTCTTCCCGTATTCAGCCTCTGCGCGTGCTTAATGCGCTTAATCGCCTCCGGCTCCTCACTCTCTGCTTGTAGCAAGATCAGCCACATGTGGCGCCTCTTGTCATCGACTAGTAGGAGGAAGACTTGCCGCCTGGGGTTGCCGGCTTGATGGGTCTTCAAAGATCACCAAGTACAAGCTCCAATGGCTTACCGACACAGTAGGATGCCTGAGACAGAAAAAGGGTGCACTTCTGCTTGCCAATGAGACACATGTCCCATAGCCTGTTCACACCTTCAATTGCCGGCAAACGGTACACCATCTCCTCCTTGTGTAGTTTCTGTAGAGTAAGAAAGCTCAAGTGCCTGTACCTTGCATGTCACCTGCAAGCTGCTTCTTCAATCCTGGCTGAGAGGCTGACCGACTGTTCTATCTTCAACTCTAGGAGTAGAGCGATTCGCTGTGCACCGAACTTGCATGAGGAGACATCGTCGATCGTCACAAATCTTGAGTGGTCTACACTCGATGTAAATGTAGAAATCGGCCTCTAGAACCAAAGAGCTGAAGCGAGAGAATAAGAGAATCCATTGTTAGATAAAACCTGAGGTTTTCCTTATTTAGCTTTACACGTTTCCATTCGTTGATTGAATACTTTTCTTTGACCATTTGATAAACACGTCAAATGGATTACCAACTTTTTAAATGGCCATTTTGTAGGAAGTGGCACAGATTTAGTTGGCCACTCTCGGGCCATTTATAGGATAAGTTAAATAGTTAGATAGGTGAATCTGTTCAAAAAGATTTCATCACCTCTTTCTTAGCAAAGTCAAATTGCAATTCTCTCTCTGTTATTTTTACGCATTTTATTTTCTTCCAACAATTTTCCTCTCTCTTCTCGTCAAACGATTTCGTCTCACATCAATTGTGAAAAGGGATTTCCATTTCTGATTATCGAAAAACAACAAGTGGTATCAGAACCCGGTTGAAGCCATCGGTGGTATATCATTACGGAGGAGTCAACTTTATCAACAGTCAAGTTGAATAGCGTTGACCTAACAACACACAGGTCTCAAGTTCGAGTAGAAGAAAATGCTAAGCGTAAAAATACACACATCATGGGGTCCATCCCGGGCAGGCTCACTCACCCCTCCATGCTGCCGTCGTGTGCAAGCATCTCCATCACCGCCACAAAGAGGTCGACGCTGTGATGACAAGCGTCGAGTTGTCGTTGAGCGAGTGATCAAGGAGACAACGACCGCCACCGTTCAGTACCCGATGTTGACAAGGTCCAACTACAACGAGTGGGCCTTGTTGATGCGCGTCAACCTACATGCGCAAGGGTTATGGCACGCTGTCAAGCCGGAGGAAGGAGAAACGATCGAGTACCAGGAGGATCGTCTGGCATTCACCGCCATATTACGGTATGTGCCCCCATAAATGCTAGTGTCTCTCTCCACCAAACACACCGCGCAATCGTCTTAGGAGGGAATCACATCCCGTCGGGTCGTTGTACATCAAGTGTGGGAATCCAACATCGAGCAGCTGCGGAAGGAGCTCTTAAAGACCCGCTTTAAGGACGGCGAATCCGTCGATAATTTTTCAATGCGGATCACGGGGATCGCCAACAGCATCACCATTTTGGTGGCAGCATCAACGAGACAGAATTCGTGAAGAAGATGTTGCAGGTTGTCCTTGATCACCTTGAGCAAGTCACAATTTCAATCAAGACATTGCTTGACGTGAACGACCTAACAGTGGAAGAGGTGACTGGGAAACTGCATAACGTCGAGCAACGGAAGAAAAATACTGCTTCAACTGTCGACAAGGAGGGTCGTCTACTCCTCACAGAGGAGGAATGACTTGCACACCTAAAGCTCCACGACAACATCGGCGAGAGCAATGGGCCCTCCAGCCGCAAAGGCGATAAGAAGCCATGGAAGTCTCATGGGCTCACGCACGGGAAAGATGGTGATAAAAAAAAAGAGTTGACCGATGGCAGGCCGATCCAGTGCTCAAACTGTGGGAAGAGAGGTCACCTGAGCAAGAATTGCTAGAGGAAGCTCAGGAACAAGGAGAACGAGCTAGTTCTCTTTATTGTAAGTGCATCGGTCTTATCCGACGTCCCCAGTTTCGATTCCAAATCCACGGAGGTGGAGGTAATCGATGATGGCATAACTGCTTCTCTAATGAGCGTCTAACCCGAGGAAGAGCTCCAGCTGGGCGTAGCAAAGGCCCCAGTTAGGGAGCCAATTTAACAGACGGAGGAGTGAGTGTTCGCTCAGATCAGCGAGAGGGACGAGCAGCATAAGCACTGTCGATGGGTCCTCGACATAGGGGCAACAAACCATATGACCGAGGCTAGATCTACGTTCTTCGAGCTCGACTCGAGAATTTGCGGGACGATGAAATTCGGCGACGGCTCTGTCGTCGAGATCGAAGGGCACGGCACCATCCTATTCATCAGCAAGGGAGGCGAGCACCGCAAGCTGACCGACGTCTACTTCATCCCGAGGCTCAAGGCTAACCTTGTGAGCCTGGGTCAACTCGATGAGGCCGGTTGCTTCATTTCCATCAAGCGCGGGCTACTCAAAATCAGCGATGATCGACAATGGTTGCTCACGCAAGTTTGGCGCACGACAAACCGTCTTTACATCCTGGAGTTAGAGATAGAGCAACCTGTCAGCCTCTCGGCCAAGACCAAAGAGGTATCTTGGAGGTGGCACGCAACGTACGGGAACTTAAACTTTCCTGCTCTAGAAAAACTACAGAAGGAGGAGATGGTGCACGGTTTGCCAGCAATCAAAGGCGTGAACAAGCTGTGCGAAGGGTGCCTCATCGGCAAACAGAGGCGCACCCCCTGTCCGTCTCGGACATCCTACCGCACAAATGAGCCGTTGGAGCTTGTACATGGTGATATCTACGGGCCCATCAAGCGACTAACCCAGGCGGTAAGACCCTCTTCCTCCTGTTGGTCGATGACAAAAGTCGCTTCATGTGGCTGATCCTACTACAAGCGAAAAGTGAGGCGGCAGAGGCAGTTAAGCGCATTCAAGCGTGAGTAGAGGCCGAATGCGGGAAGAAGATGTGAGTGCTGCGCACAAACTGAGGTAGAGAATTCACCACAACAAGTTTCAGTAAGTACTCTGATGAGTTCGGTATACAATGGCAACTAACGGCGCCCTACTCCCCCCAGCCGAACGGAGTGGTGGAACGCCGAAACCAAACCATCGTCGGGACAGCAAGGCCTTTGCTGATGACGGTCAGGATGCCTGGGAGATTCTGGGGAGAGGCAGTAATGACGGGTGTCTATCTCCTCAATCGATCGCCAACCCGAAGCCTCGACGGAAAGACGCCATATGAGGCCTGACACAACAAAAAGCCAGCGGTACATCACTTTTGAGTGTTCGGCTGCGTCGCATACATGAAGGTAGCGCGTCCCCACCTCGCCAAGTTCAATCCTAGGGGGCTGAAGGTCGTCTTCATCAGCTATGAACCCAGGAGTAAGGCATACAGACTCTATGATCCTGTAGGGGGGCGAGCTCATGTGTCTCGCGACGTCATCTTTGACAAAAGCACCTTCTGGCAGTGGAATGACATGATCGAGGCAGACCACAACCCAAATCAATTCACAGTGGAGTACCTCGTCACCAAGCTAGAAGAAGGAGGAGCCTAGCATCAGGAACCGTCACCGCCGCCAGCAGGTGCACCCCCTGCACTAGTGGAGTTCGCAACACCACGGACTGCGAATTCGACACTAGATGCCGATCACGATGATGATCTAATGGCCAGGTACCGGAGGATGGACGACCTAGTGGAAGGAGGTGAACCACCTAGACTGGCGGCGTGCGAGCTCGAAGAAGTGGCCGAACTACATGCCATCAGTGCAGATAAACCGAACACCTTCGTCAAAGCAGAAAGGAACCCATGGTGGCTGAAGGCAATGCAGGAGGAGATGACATCCATCACCGAGAACCAGACATGGAGTCTGGAGAATATGCCGCTGGGACACCGAGCCATAGGGCTCAAATGGGTCTTCAAACTGAAGCGCGACGAAAAGGGAGAAGTTGTGAAGCACAAGGCCCATCTGGTGGCGAAGGGCTACGTCCAAAAGCAAGGAGTGGACTTCGAAGAGGTATTTGCGCCAGTGGCAAGGTTAGAATCCGTCCGCCTTTTGTTGGCAATCATGGCACATTACTCTTGGGAGGTCCACCACATGGACGTGAAGTCCGCTTTCCTTAATGGAGAGCTGAAAGAAACTGTCTACGTTCGACAACCACCTAGCTTACTAGACAACGACAACCTGGGTAAGGTATTGCGCTTGCACAAGGCACTCTACGGGCTTTGGCAAGCACCACGAGCCTAGAACACGAATCTCGACAGTACCCTATTGTCACTGAAGTTCAAGCGTTGTGCCTCTTAGCATGGCATGTACTCGCACGTCCACGGCAAGCAGCGACTGATTGTGGGAGTGTACGTCGATGACCTCATAATCACTAGAGGCGACATGGAAGTCCTCAGAAGGTTAAAGAGGAAGATGTCAAAGAACTTCAAGATGAGTGATATCGGCGTACTCAGCTACTACCTCAGTATCGAAGTGCAACAGAGTACTGCTGGCATCACCATCTGTCAAAGTGCATATGCAAAGAAGCTGTTGGATACTACTAGGCTAGCAAACAGTAATCCTACAAGAATGCCAATGGAGGCCCGACTCCAGCTGAGGAAGGCCGGCACTACGACGGCAGTTGACTCCACTAATTACCATAGCATTGTCGGGAGTCTGCGCTATCTGGTAAACACTCGCTCTGATCTTGCTTATTTCGTTGGATACGTGAGTAGGTTTATGGAAGCACTTAGGGAGGAGCATCTAGTGGCTGTCAAGCGCATCCTACTAGAACCAGAGACTGGGGTGTAAGATACTGCGCAGGGAGAGGAAAGGAGAAGCTTGAGATGGTCGGCTACAGTGATAGTGACATGACCGATGACGTTGATGATTGTAAGAGCACCAGCGGGATGATTTACTTCCTCTCAGGCGGTGCGATCTGTTGGTAATCAACTAAGCAAAAGGTAGTTGCTTTATCTTCTTGCGAAGCAGAGTACATTGCTGCTTCGATGGCAGCAACACAGGGGGTTTGGCTTGCGCGACTGATGGAAGAATTCATCGGAAAAGAAGGTGATCCACCAATGCTTTATGTGGACAACAAAGCTACGATCTCCCTGATCAAAAATCTGGTTTTGCACGACCGAAGCAAGCACATAAAGATCAGGTTCCATTACATTCGGGAGTGTACAGATCGGAGACTTATCAAGATTGGCTTCATCTGAACAGAGGAACAGCTTGGAGACATCTTCACCAAGTCTCTAGCATGGGTAAAATTTGAGGAACTTCATTTAAAGATCGGAGTTCAAATAATAAGGTAGATATACCACAGGTTTTAGGAGGAGATTGTTAGATAAAACCTGAGGTTTTCCTTATTTAGCTTTACATGTTTCCATTAGTTGATTGAATACCTTCATTTGATCATTTGACAAACACGTCGAATGGATTACCAACTTTTTAGATGGCCATTTTGTAGGAAGTGGCACAGATTTAGTTGGCTTCGGGCCATTTTTAGGATAAGTTAAATATTTAAATAGGTGAATGAAAGATTTCATCGCCTCTCCTTTTTAGTAAAGTCAAATTGCAATTCTCTCTCTGTTATTTTTAAGCATTTTATTTTCTTCCAACAACTTTCCTCTCACATCAATTGTGAAAAGGGATTTTTGTTGCCGATTATCAAAAAACAACATTCACAATAGAAAATGGACCAAAAAAGTTTTGTTTTCTTGCTAAAATTTATGCAAATACATTTGAAGAAGAATTAGATCCCGACGAGTTAGTTTTGTTCACGACCGAGGAGGCAACAACCTACCATGAGGCAGTAACTGAGGCGATGTTGCAAGAGGCCATACAAAAAGAGCTTGAAGCCATTGAGAAGAACAAGACATGGACACTAACTTACCGCCCACACACAAGTCCATTGGTTTGAAGCGGGTGTTTAAGTTGAAGAAGAATATGTAACGAAATGTCATCAAGCATAAAGCAAGACTAGTGGCAAAGGGATACTTGCAACAACTAGGAGTTTATTTTTAGGAGGTTTTCGTGCTTGTGGCTAGACTGAGCACTGTACGGTTGATTTTTGCCCTAGCTGCTGAACACGGGTGAGAGGCCCATCACTTGGACATCAAATCAGCATTCCTAATGATGACCTCCAAGAAGAAATGTATATTGCTCAACTTGAAGGGTTCGTCATCAAAGCCGAAGAGCCCAATGTGTACAAGTTGTCAAAAGCCCTCTACTGTTTATGGCAACTACCGAGGGCATAAAACATACGTCTGGACAAGTGTTTAAAGAGTCTAAATTAAATGAAGTGCTCGTAGGAACAAGTAGTGGATACAAAAAATAATGGGGCTCAAACACTCATAGTTGGTGTATACGTTGATGACTTGATTGTCATTGATACAAGTGTGGAAGACATCAAAGAGTTCAAGCAGCAAATGATGAAAGAATTTGAGATGACTAATCTCGAGTTACTCACGTACTACCTCGGTATTGAAATGGACTAAAGGAAAGATTGCATCATGTTAAAGCAACTCGACCAAATATCCCATGGAATTAAGTTACAACTCGTGAAAGATGCTGAAGGAATCTTGGTGAATTTTACTAAGTATAGATGCGTTATCGAAAGTCTAAGGTACTTGACTCATACCCGTCTGGCCCTTTTATATGTTGTTGGAATAATGAGTAGGTACATGGAAAAGCCTACTATGATGCATCATCAAGCGGTTAAGCACATTCTCTGCTATGTGAAGGGAACCACAAGCTACGAGTTGAAGTATCAAAGAGGGCGAGGTCCTAAAGAACTATAGTCGATTTTACCGATAGTGATTTAGCTAGAGACATTGATGATAGAAAAAGCACCACATGAGTGGTGTTTTATCTCAATAGAAATTTGATTTCTTGGCAATCTCAAAAGCAGCGAATTGTGGCACTTTCTTCCTGTGAAGTCGAGTTCATGGCAACAATTGCGACATTGTGTCAAGAATGGTGGATAAGAAATTTGTTAAGTAAACACATTGAACTAAAGCCAATAACTCTCTACATCAACAACAAATCTACGATTGCACTGATGAAGAATCTAGTATTTCACGGACGCAGCAAACACATTGACATTCGCTTTCATTTCATCAGTGAGTGTGTTGAGAAGAGACAAATTGTTGTGGAGTTCGTATGCACTAGAGAGCAATGTGCGGATATTCTTACAAAGACCCTAAAAAAAGTTAAGTTTGCAAAGATACGGAAATTGCTGAGAGTCGAACAAAGTCAAGTTTACAGAAGAGATTGTAAACTTATAAATTTGACTTAGTAAAATGAGTCACTAACGTATGAAATAACTTTAGAAGAATTGTTAATAGACTTAGTAAATAATTTATAACTTATGAGAATTGGTAGTAGTTGTCAAATTGTGGACAAGTTTTATGTTTTAATTACGAGGATGGATGGTGGTTCTTTTGGGAGAAAGTTTAGGAAATTAGTTAGTACTTTCTCCACTATTAATACTCATAAGATGTTTTTTTTTTCTCACAAGAACTACAAAAAAGAATCGAAAAACTAAGTGCTTATGATTAATTTTTTCCAACTTTGTTACAAAAGAATATTGTCGGGTAGGTGTGCCGACTTTGTCAACCTGTCGATAATTACCCAGATTATCATGTAGCCCTTTAGTGTTCTGGGTACTCCTACTATGAAGTCCATGGCTATGTTTTTCCCCTTCCACTCTGGTATATTCAGGGGTTGTAACATTCTTATCGTTTTTTGTCTAGAGCTTTTACTTGTTGGCATACTAGGCACTTGCTTACAAACTCTACTACGTCCTTCATACTCTTCCACCAAAAATGTTGTTTTAAATCTCGGTACATCTTAGTACCACCTGGATGCATAGCAAATGGCGAGTTATGAGCCTCCATCAATATCTTCTTCCTTAATTCTTCTATTGCTAGGATACATAGGCGTCCCTGACATAACAGTTCGTCATCTAAGGATTTTGAGAACCCATCCACTAGATCCTCTACTAGCTGACTCAAAATCTTATGTAGGGTTAGGATTCTCTTATTGAAAATCAATAATCCTCTATCTGAGTGTGAGTTGTGCTATGACTCCCTCAATCACTACCGCTATATTAGCTCACTCAAAATCTCTTTAAACTCGTACCTCTCTAGTAATGAGGGTCGATAAGTGTGTCGTCTTTCGACTTAGGGCATCAGCGACCATATTTGCTTTTCCAATGTGATATTAAATGTCTATGTCATAATCCTTCACCCGCTTCAACCACTTCCATTGTCTCATGTTCAGCTCTTTCTGGGTGAAGAAACATTTCGAACTCTTGTGATTGGTGTAAATTTTGGTATTTTCTCCATACAAGTAGTGTTGCCAAAACTTTAATGAAAACACTTCCGCGGCCAACTCTAGGTCGTGTGTGGAATAATTCTTCTCATATTCCTTTAACTAATGGGATGCGTATGCAACAACCTTGTCGTGGTGCATCAACCCACATCCTAGTCCTTTCTTAGAATCATCGCTATAGATCATGTACCCTTCTGAGCTCTCAGGTACCATGAGTACTGGGACTGTTACCAACCTTTTCTTTAAGTCTTGGAAGCTTGCTTCACCCACATCACTCCACCTAAATGGTACGACCTTCCTCGTCAGCTATGTAAGTGGTGAGGCTATCTTAACGAAGTCCTGTCCAAATCTGATAATAACCCACTAATCCCAGAAAACTTTGCACCTCTGTAACTGAAGTTGGGCGTTCCCACTTTGTAACTGCTTCGATTTTGGTAGAGTCTACGTAAATTTCATTATTTGATTCCACATGTCCCAAGAACAAGACTTGTCGCAGCCAAAATTCACACTTGGAGAACTTGGCGTACAACTTGTTCAACGTTAGATTTGTGTGTGTGGCCTCATTAGTGTTTTTCGCATTCTCTCTCTCTCTCTCATTCTCTCTTTGTATTTCTCTCTTTCAGGTGATCTCTGGGAGCGTGGTTGTATTCGTGAGGGTGTTTGGCATTCTGTAGGGGTCGGGAGAGCGTGTGTCCGAGTGAGATGCAAGAATTCCAGCACTCGTTGGTATTCTCGCAAGTCGCCAACGACCGCTTGATATTTATTTATTTATTTTATACAACCGTTACATCAATAATGAGATTGAAATCAAGTTCTTCAATAGAGACCTCTAAGTAATAAAATATCCATAGAAGAAACCCTTCTACACCAAGAGAACTCCATGCAATGAAACCCTGTGAAAAAATAAACTCCTAAACTAAAGATCCGTTCAAAGCTGTGTGACATTAGACACAAATATTTTGGGCATACTTAAAATCAATTCAAAATCCAATAAAGGTTCCACATTTATCTCTAGTCGACATCATATTTCTAAAGTGAATATACTAGCACTTGCCCTCTCATGAACCAAAGTCATTATTGCATATCTATGAAAAAGATGAAACAGTAGATCTTCCTATATGTGAATGATTTAGCCATGACTAGAAAATTCAATTGGATAGAACGGAAATAACCCAATTGTGTGCACAATCAATCAACTACACATAATAAATATCATGGATGTGTATCACTTCAAGATTGGGTACCTAGTAGGATGAATGTTTTAATCAAATATTTACTAGAATTGGGCATGACTTTGGCAATTTCAATCATGGGATTTCATACCGAGCATATGAACGGAACGGAGAGTTGGGAAACTTCATATTTGACATTTTATTAAAGACAAATATCTAAATATTTGATACTGATTCTTCATTACGGCTTACCATAGGTATCATATTTGATCTTTATTATAAGCAAATATATTTTTCTACTTAATTGTTCTTTCCATTTATTATTTATTCAGTAATTTATATGAGGATTATAAGTAGAGAATTTCAACCTCATTTAGGTGTGGTGGTTTTAGCTAATATTCTCATGGTATCAGAGTCCTTTCGATTTTACAACTCCGACCCTTTATTTTCAATGGCTTCTGAATCCTCTGCTCATCTTCTTCTCCACCACCACTGTTGGCTTTGACACCGCAGGGGCAGTTGCCATGGCTGCTGCAGGTAGAGCCGATTGATTACTCTTCGGCTCCACCCTTTTGGCCTCCAAATTATCCACCGCAGGCCCCTTTTGTCATACTCTATACATACAACCTCACCTTCTCAACATAATTGGTTTCCCCTTAGCCAAAATAGCCTCTTTTCATTTTCTTCCCAATCGACCCTTCATCCTTCACAGAAACCCTAACCTTAGGATCCTCATTAGCGTTCTCATTGGAAACATACGAAATCTCGACAAACCCATTGATCTTCTGTAGAGATTTACCTTCAAAATACAGGTATTGCATTGCCCTCTACGCCAACCAAGTTGCTGTCAACCTCCTCACAAAAATCGACTCATTCGCCCACTGTGGTGACTCTTTCAACTTCAACACCGTCTTTGTCTCTTGCTTCTGGGGGCATGGCTCCCTCTCCATCCATTGGAACTTCACCACCTGCTATGACACTGACTACTTCTCCACCGACTCTGTCTACCTTGAGTCTCTACAGCCCACAACCCATGGTCTCTATAGCCATCACCCTAATTCTGAAGCCTCTGCCTTAGTCTCTATAGCCCACAAACCATGGTTATTTCTCAAACACTTGACTTCTGATTGTTCTCCTTTCTTTGATTCTACTCTCTATCGACCTCTCTGTGAATTTTTCAGATTCAAGCTTCACATTCGTTCAAATCTCGGCTTGCATGGGGTGTTAAGGATATTTAGCATTCTGTTATGATTTAACATAGGTACCATATTTGACCTTTTATTAAAGGCAAATATTTATCTTCCATCACCGTTTATCATAGGTATCATATTTGACCTTTGTTATAAGCAAATATATTGTATCTATTTTTTTTTTCATTTCTTTTGTAATTTATTTGATGATTATACATAAAATTTCACCATCATTTAGATGCGATGATTTTAATAAATATTCTCCAGTGCCATGAACTAAAGTTCAATCCCTCCCGAAATAGAAAGAACAAAAAGAGTCAGCATAAAAATACTCACCAAATAATCTTATTTTCATATTTATTGTTAAACGATCTTTGGCTTAAATAGTTTAAATATGTTAATACTAAATTCATCCTTTAAGAAATCGAATCTTACTCATATCAACTCAATCATAGAGGAAGTGACCCGGTCATCTATAATTCTTATTATATAGAGCCCGACTCCAATAAATTATTGATTTCATTTACAAGTAGGGAGTGACCCTGTCATATCGACTCGTATCATGTAAGATATGACTCTAGTAGATTATTTCATATACATGCAAGGAGTGACCTCACATGTGGGTTCATATCATCATGGTACGATCATAACAAAATCTAGTGCATATAGGAAATGAAACTATATATGTACTCGTATTGTATAAGGTATAATCCTAATATAATCGTATCATATACATACAAGAAATGACCACGCATGTGAGCTCATATCATTAGGACATGACCCTAGTAAAATTATATCTCATACATACCAGAAGTGACTTTGTATACAAACTCATAACATTGGGGGTACGATCCTAGTAGATCTAGGACATACAGGGAGTTACCCTCAAATAGAGCACGGTCCTAGTAGAATCACATTATATACCTGCAAAAAGTGACCTCAAAATCGTTGGCGCACGACCCAAGTAAAATCGCATCATATATATGCAAGGAGTGAACTTGCAATTATCGGAACATAACCTTAATACATATATATAATTGTAATATAATTTTTAAAAGTAGTTGGCCAATAAACAATAAATAAATATAAAATTGCTTAAAAATGTCATTGGGTAAATTAAAAATTGAGAAGGGCTAATGTGCAAAATTGAGATAGATAGAGGGGTGGTTGGTGCAATTTTCTAAAAAAGAAAGGAAGAAAGATTTGGCGTAAAATCAACGGTAGGGAAGGCAACGCAGACAATTCTTACCAGGTATTATTATAAAATGTGCGGTGACCAATGCTTGTAATGCCGACCTAAAAGCAAATAAGAAAAATAAATAAATAAATATAGAGAACTGTAAGAAGACAATTAAGGCCCTATGCGGTGCGTTGGTATAAAATGATGCAGAGTATGGAGAACTCGAGAAACGTTGCGAGCCCTAGCCCTCAGATCTGAACAACATCTCATTCCAACGCCATGGCCAGCTTTGACGAAGCCCCTCCCGGCAATTCCAAAGCTGGAGAGAAGATTTTCAAGACCAAATGCGCTCAGTGCCACACTGTCGACAAGGGTGCTGGTCACAAGCAAGGTTAGAGATTATCATTTCTTATTTATATGTTTGGATTTCTTGCGATTCGAAATCGGAGGTTAGAGATCTCGAAGTCTCTATTAGTAATCTGAACATGTTCGTCCATCTTTGAGGATTCAGATGCTGAGTTTTGCTACGTTTGAATCGATCTGATCGTTTTCTCTGTTTTCCCCCAATATACTCTAGGAAACTAATACCTATTGGCCTTCATCAAATTTTTCCATCGCCTACCAGGAACATGATATTTATTATTATTTATTTATTTTTTTTTTTAATGGAAATTTGACTTGGTGAAATGATTTTGGAAATACTTGGAAGCGTTTACTTTTATGAAACTAATAACAAATATATGGATTTTTTTTTTTAAAAAAAATCATTTAATACAGTAATTTTTTTATATCTCACTAATTATTCATTAACTTGGTAATGATAAATTAGTACGTTTTTTTTTTTTTTTTTATGGCGTTGGCCTTGGTGAGTAGAAATCATGATTAAGGTGAACAATCGATTTTAGTCAATAGTATATGGCTTCTTACTTTTTATTTTTGATATTAGTTTTTTAGCTCCAGTTTTTGTGCTATTTTACGGAAGTTGTGTTAGATTTGCAGTTACTTTTATTCTGTTTCAATTGGGTTTCATTAGGTTTTGAGTTGTGGATGTACGAAGCTTATTGTTGCGTAATGTTTGACTTTTTTATTTTTTATTTGGAGTATATTTTCATCCCTCCCTTTCGCTTTTTCATGAGGAGAAAATCAGCCTTTCTATATTCATGTGTAAGTAGACTCTAAGACGAGCAATGGCACTTGAATCTTGCAGGTCCCAATTTGAATGGGCTATTTGGACGCCAATCTGGCACAACTGCTGGATACTCTTATTCTGCTGCCAACAAGAATATGGCCGTGATATGGGAAGAAAAGACCTTGTATGACTACTTGCTTAACCCCAAGAAGGTAACTCCCGTCTATTTCTCAACACTTGTGGCCTTGTAGTATTTGATTTGAAGCTAGTTTATTTCCCTGCGTTGTCCTCCAGATGTTCTGATTGTTGATTCATTGATATTACTGTGAATTCACCTAAATAGGCTTGCCGTGTTCCTTACTAGCCTTTTTCTTCATAATGCCTCTTCAACTGATCCCCAAGTGCTGAAATGTTTTTTGCAACTTTGATCAACCTGTTCGTCTTTTACCATCTTACAAGTAGCCTGAACTATAAAAATATGTACATTCCTTTTCTACAATAATAGCCAAAAGTTTTGAAGAACGGTCAACCACCATTTGCGTCACAAATCTCCCTTCACTTGGAGTTTCAATCATAATTTAAGCAAAAATAAAACATAAAAAAATTGCCTCTTATATCTGAATATGCTTCAGACAAGCACGTTAATAGTTTCTTGACACATGATTGATTTCCACAATTTCCCTCGATTCCTTCACAAGTCTCCTTTAGGAAAATCACTTGCCCTTAAATCTATCTTTTGTGACATGATTAACTTTTTTGGCATTGATGCTATTAGGAACACTCTGGTCCCAATGTATCGACACGGTAAATCCATTTAGGCATTAGTTATGTGTCTTCCCTTGCTCTCTTCGCTTCTTCTTGCAGCTATAACAAAGTTCATCCTGAACCCTTGCTTAGGGTTTCCTCTCAATGGAAATCTTCATTTGCCCTCAAGTTTCAATGACATAATTAACGAAGGAAGTTTGGAAAATCCCAGTCTATTCTTCTCAGTTTGGCTATAAAATGAAAAATTCAAAACTTCCAAAGCAAGTGAAATTCTCTAAGGGAACTTTTGAGTTAAGTGTTAACGTTCACTCAAATCCCTTGATAATGTCCCTTGTGATCTCACTGTGTCTATGAACACCCTCATTTTCAGCACTTAAAACTGTTTTCTTTATTCCTAGATGGTCATCTTTCTAATAGTGATGGCTTTATGGCCACAATGTTTGATGGTTTATTTTTTGCCTATTTGTTGGCTTGAAAGGAAAGAAACAAGTCTTCTGGTTATGGCGAATAAAATCCCATGTTATACTCGTCGTTTTATCATTTAACCATGTTTGTTAGGTTATGATTCTTAAGTCTGGATATGTTAAAGCTTGTGTTGCGAGTTTATTTTAAGAAACAGGGGTCAGTATACTATTTGAATTGTGCAGATAAATGGGGTTTAGTTTGTGTAACCTATGTTCATCTTTTTTGTTTTGGTTTTGGATTTATAAGAAATTTTAATAATTTACATGTTCACCATTTTTTGTATAGAAAATTCATTTCTACATTAAATTTGGTAAAAATATCATAATATTTTTCTTTTGTAATCAGCCAGTACAATGAGTAATGTTTAAAATAGTTTTAATACCGTTGTCAACCCTGTAACCTTGAATAATTATTTTGTAATGTGAATCTTCAACTACTTTTGTAATTGCTTCTCAAATATTCACCAAGGTGCGATGAAGTGTGTATAAATTCTTACAAACAGGCCAAGCTTTCTGAACCATTGTTATCTTTCTAGTTCTTTCTTGATGTTAATTTTGTGTAATTTACAAACCCTCCAATCATCTTCTTTTTTGAAAATGCATCCTCTTGTGTGGAATCTGCATTAACTCTAGTGCTTATGATTGCTATGGTTTATAGAGGAATGTGAAGCTAATTGTAAATTTGGAGGAATGAAAAGAATACTGAGCTTGGTTTATGAATTTTGTTTGTCCTTCTTTGATCAATGATCACTTATGTCTCTTTCAAAGTTTTAGGAGATGGTAGTGTTTCAGTTGGTAAATATTCTAACAAAAAGTTGGGGGATGTGTATCCATTGTGCAGTATATTCCTGGAACAAAGATGGTTTTCCCAGGGCTGAAGAAACCGCAGGATCGTGCCGACCTTATTGCTTATCTGAAGGAAGCAACTGCTTAATTGCATAATATATGGTTGATGCTTCTTCCAATCTACAATTTTTTGCTATCAGTTTTCCCCATCATCGTTAAAATAAGAACATTGAGAGGAGAGGAACCTTAGATGAAAAGTTGGAGGTGGTCACACACACACTTTTTTTTCTTTTTCATTAAATTCTTACTTCCCTTCCTTCGCTACACTCATTTGCAGAGTTCGCCCCATTTGTAGCTTACATTATTGTTATGTGAACATAACTGCTACAATTTTTTTGGCCAGCCCGGTTCTGCCAACTTATTTTCTCATAATAAATATCACACTTGTTAGAGACTACCTATTTTCAATGCATTATATTAAGATGGAACTTCAACATTTCTGGGTTTTATTTATTTATTTATTTATTCTTCAATTAAGAACGAAATAAACCAAAGTATTTGATTATTTTTTATGCTTATGTTTCATGTGTTGAAATAAAATTTATTACATATTAGTTTAAATAAATATAAAATTATTATTTTATTGAAATATGTTTTTTTTGTTGAATTAACATGATAATGGTAACAAGAGGTTTGTTTAAGGTTGGACTGTTTATTTATTTCCATAATAACTTCAGTTTTTTGTATATAAAAATATATCTCATAATTACAGAAGTGAAATTTTAAAGGGGGAGAACAAATTTGTTTTAAACAAAAATTAACGGTAAATATGAAGTATTTTATTTTATTTGATAGAAAAATGAAATGTACCCAAATGTCCCAATCTTCGTGTGGGCAACTCATGAGTGGTCCTCTCCAACTGGCCAAATAGGAGAGACTCATTTGCTGCCCCCACACTGATTCAGACCCAACTTCATTGATTCTTTCTGGAATTCGAATAGTATATGAGGGGAGCGACTGGTATTTCTTTATCATTTGTTGATTATTCTACTTTTAATTCGTTTGGAAATTGGGATTCTTCAAGAGTGTAGCGTTTATAGTTGAAGTTGAAGCGAACGCATATCAGAATCCATGGCGGCATGGGCCTTAGCTTTGTTGCTCTTCTTCAACCACCTACTCCTCCACGCGGCACCACAAACTACCACCGATCCTGCACAAGGTTCTCTCTCTCTCTCTCTCTCTCTCTCTCTCTCTCTCTCTCTCTCTTCTTTTCAGGCTCCATGTTTGACTGTTTATTTAATTAAGTTTCATTATTCTCTTTCCGTACCCAAACTGAATTCAGATTTAATAATTGGAACACAAAAGACCAGAAAACAAACGGTGAGAAATCAGATTCCAAAATATCCCAAAAATACAAGGATTTGAACACTGCTCCGAGGAGCACGCGGTGACGTTTAGACCCTCATATCTAGGACGTACGACTGTGTGTCACACTCACATCTTTAATCGCAGCGGATTTGCGAGTGTGCCGCACTCACTTTCCAACGACAAGTGAGCTAAGCCAATTCGTCCTTACGTCGCTTACGGCCAAGCGACGTACGCTCGAGACTCTAGCCTCGATTTTAAGAGAAGGTTTTAGAAGGCGAGGGCAGAGAGAGATTTTCAAAAGAGGAATTTTTGAAAAAGACGTTATGTGAGCAAGCAAAAGAGAAATAACGACGACTTACCGTATATAACATTGGGTAGGGAGAAGTTGACAACTAGTCGTATCCCCTATAATACTCGGAGGTATTTCATGTCTAATAGACTTAAACATGATATTTCTGAAACGTCCTACTTCCTACCAATACCAGAAGTAAAACATTAGAATATGAAAAAAGAGCTTGACATGGACATGCGGCCATGTTGCCCATGCTGCCCATGCTCACCGAGCATGACCGTCACACTGTGTACGGCTACAGAGAAGGGCCAAACCTAAGCGACGGCGATGAGACGGAGGGCGGTGGTGGTTGCCAGGGGAACGCGAGAAAGAGAGACGAAGTTGTAGCGTTGGTATCAATAAGTAGAAGACTCGATTCTTTTTTATTGCTAGGTTTTATTGCTTTGATGCCATGGATTTCTGAGATTAGTTATGTACGCAGCACGAGCTCTGAACTCCATATTTCGACAATGGAATATATCGGCGAAGCAGAATACAAGTATTGTCGGGACGGGAACTCCCGATCTAATCGAGAGGTGGAATATCAGCGGGAACCTATGCACTGGGAGCGCTGTGGACACCAGAATAAACATCGAGGATCCAAAATACAACCCCTTTATCAAATGCAATTGCTCCTTCAACAACGCATCTACTTGCTTCATTACCCACCTGTATGTACGCCTCCCATTTCCATCATTTTCTCCACCTCCACCACCTCCTATTTTTGTTCTAACTTTTTCATAGCCTGCACAATTACTAATTCATTAAACAAGGACATGCCATGGTAGAATCTAAACCTTCAAATCTGGAAACTGCTTTGGAATTGCTTGAAATTTGTTTGGAAACACTGATGTGTTGGGTGCATTTTGACATTCTCTGCTCATTTTGTGCATATAACCTTGCAGGAAGGTTTCTTCATTGGATATTGCTGGTGTATTCCCACCCGAGCTATGGATTTTGAAATCCCTCACCTATCTGTCTGCTTTCTTCCTAATGCTTTCCTTGGTGTTGCTCCTTCATTTATTTTCTATTGCTGGTGTATCATATATGCTGTGAAGTTAACCGATATTCTCTTAATTTCTCCCAGGAATTTGGAGAAAAATTTATTGTCTGGGCCATTATCGCCGTCTGTTGGTAAACTAACGCAATTGAGTACCTTGTAAGCCAATATGATATTGATTTAGATACCTCTATAGACAACAAAGATTTTATTGTCAAAAGGTTTCTTCCTTTTCCTAATCCATGTCAAATTTTTGTTTAGGATCATTCGCATTAATAAATTATCAGGGGAACTTCCGAAGGAACTTGGACTTCTTTCCAATCTGAGATTCTTGTAAGTTTTCATTTTTCATCTACACTGTAAGATATCTGTTTTAGTTTTTGAAAAAGAAAATGAACCTTTTCATTGAATTTATGAAAAGTTACAACCATCATTACATGCTTGAAGTTGGGTTTCTTCTCTTAAGTGCATAAAATTCATGGTTATTAAAAAGTATTCAAATTTGAGATTCATAAAGAAACTTTCAAGGAACCATGGATGCGAATCATCATTATAGCTTGTCGTGCTGGCATATTTCTTTTTGAATTTATTTAGCTTTTGTTCTTTTCTTGAAACTGTAGGGCCTTTGGGACTAACAATTTCTCCGGTCCATTACCATCAGAGCTCGGAAAGCTTTTTATGCTAGAGGAACTGTAAGCTTCATAATTTACTTTTATGTTGTTTTTTACATGAAAATCCTGTTAAATGTGATTAGAAAAAACAAAGAAAAGGAGTGCATCCATTTTTTAATTTTTTTTACAAGAACGAAACTTTTCATTAAATAAATGACAGGAGACGAATAATTTAGAGCTTCACAAAGAACAAAATGGATAATAATAATAATAATAAAAAAAAAAAACATAAACACGTCCCAATAATATGGTAAGAAACTAAATAGAACACGCTTGCTGATAAATTGATTGGTTCATTTATTTGATAGTTTTGGGATTTATCTGACAGGGTTTATTAATTAATATTAACGAATTTTAGTTAATATCTTGTAATTTCCTTTTGATATTGCAATATATTATTATTATTATTATTTTTTTTTTTGGTATTTGGGTACTGCTTTGTAACTTTGGGAATTCGGTTTAACAATCTTGTTGAAAAATGAGACGTTTAAATATAAAATATCTAAGAACTCCATAAGCGATAAATAATCAACTCAAATGAAAGTTTTGGAACGAATTACCTTAATGATCAAAATCAAGAGTAAAGAAAACTCGTGATTTGAATGATTTCACAAAAATTTGATCTTGAATGACTCCAACTTATAGAATACTAGAACTTGGAAAATAAAAAACTTAGTTCTCAACAAATCCTAAAAGAAAGAACAGTTTTTTATTGTTGAACTCAACTCTTTATCAAGACCAATCGAAACACTTAGACTCTTTATCAAGACCAATTGAGAAGAGTTTACAAGGTACCCTGTATACACTACTACACTAATATATACACTACTACACTCAGTGCTTGTGATTTCTTGGGATAAAACCTTGGTAGGTTGGAAAGGTATTACAATTTATTCCTAAAATATCTAACTTTCCTAAAATATCCAACTTTCTAAAATACCTTAATTCTTTTCCTAAAATACTTAATATTTTTATTCCCAAGATATCTAAATCATTCCCTATTTTCCTAAAAAATTTAAGTCTTTATTCCCAAAATACCTCAATCATTCCCTAAAATATCTAGATATATTTATTCTCAAAATACCTAAATCATTTCCCTAAAATTCATAGACAATGAGCTCATACAATTATTGAGCTAGTGATGATATTTTAACATTGTCATCCTTAACTTATGTGAGTTAAATATATCCGTAATTTCTATATTAAAATGACTATTTAATGACAAAATATGGTAGCGGTTGGAAGTTTAAATTAGACTGCTATTTTTGCATATTTAATTTTTAGAGAACTATGGGAGAAAGGTTAATTAAATCTAAAGATCATCTAAATAATTTAAATACCCTAGATATTTGTTAATAGTATATCTAAATAAATGCTTAGATATTTGGTAATAGATACTAAATCTAAGTAAACTCTTAACTAAATCTAAATAATCCTTAGGAAGCTTAACTAGTTCAGTTATTTAATGAGATTACAAAAATATCCATCGAAATTCCCTCAAGCTGAGTTATAGATATCATAGTAATTCATGAATTACATAAATATCTTCTAACTTAAGGCTAATTCTTCCACACTCCCCCTCAGGTTGAGTAACAGATATTATTCATTCTTAGCTTGGATACTAACTCATGAAGTAATAAAAGCTATGAAGTTCATTATTCATTCTTAGCTTGAATACTAACTCATGAAGTAATAAAAGCTATGAAGTTCTTTTGTCAGTACATAAGTCGCCGTGAGAGCACGTAACTCATGTATACTATTTCCTTGGAACACTTCCACAGGCGTTGTTTGTCTCTCTCGTGCTCACTTATGTAGGAGCACTTACACACAAGCGTTACTCGCTTTTCTTGTGCTCACTCCTCTCGGAGCACTTCCATGAGGGTTGTTGACCTTTCTCATGCTCACTTTTTTAGAGCATTTCCATGCGCGTTGCTTGCCTTTCTCATGCTCACCTTTCTTGGAGCACTTCCACCGGCGTCACTTGCCTCTCTTGTGATCTCTCCTCTTGGAGTGTATGGTTTGGTTGGTAACTCTGCAGCAGTAGGGGTAGACTCATAATCTAAGATAGTAGGCTTTCCATAACAACTTTTCTTGAGGTACAGTCCTATTTTCCCATCCAGGATTTGCAGTCCAGCCTTAACAGATTTGGAGATCTTAGTTTTCCAGCCTTAACAGATTTGGAGATCTTAGTTTTGATCACCTTCTTTCTTCCTCTGACGCCTTTAGTTCCCTCCATTATTGAATACTTCAAATATGAATCTCTGAGTTTGTTACTTTGTGATGATGATTGAAAGAACGATCTAAGATTTTTATGACATGATGGTGGATTTTAATCTGGAGAGAAATTTAGTCTCAAATAAAATTTATCCAAGCCACGATCGAAAAATCCTTCATTGAATAGTGATGGGCTTGTGGAATAGTGATGGTTGAAGTGATGGTGATGGTGCTTGAAATGACCGTGGCTTGTTGAAGGGATGAAATAGTGGAAAAGTTTTCAAGTTTACTACTGGGAGATACTAAGTTTATGTTTAATATTGGATTTTGGATTTGAAAAACAGTGGTTTTGGGCATTGAAGAATGCGGAAAGTGGGCTTTTCCGAAGACACCACTCTTGGATCATCTGGGTAATTTGTGGCTTGCTGGATTTTATTTTTTTACATTTTCTTTACCGATTTGCAATTTGCTTGAAGAAGCAGAGGATTTTCCCAAAGGAGGGTTACTTATGATGTCATCTACTTCTTTATCTGCAATGTGGGACTCCAAATATGCAGACTTAATGAAATTTGGTCACCATTATCTATGAAGGCTTCAAAGGAAACTTGAACGGCAGCTACGTAGGCTCGAAATGAAACTTTATCACGATGAAGGCTTTATCAATTGAGTTAGGATTTTGGTTCGAATCAGATTTTCTAAATTAGAATAGAAACTAGACTATTGTTTTTTAATATAATTTTTTAGAGAATTACATTGCTTAAGGAGTTAACACTCTCCTAATTGAATAGGATCACAAAAATACCCTTTGGCACCCCCTTGAATAATAGATATCATTCATTTGCCGTTTGGATACTAACTCACTGAGTTACACAAATATCTCCAACTTAAGGTTAATCTTGGACGGTAGCTTATGTGAGTCATAATACACTCATAACCTCCATGTTAGAATGATCATTAACGATGAAATATGGTAACTTATTTGAGTTATCGGACAACCTTTAACTCCCATTTAAAAACTAGTTTAAATGATAAATAAAAATTACAATTAAAATAATATAATAAAAAAAATGTATTGTCTAGTAACCGTACATGAACTAAGTTCCATAATTTAAACTTAATTTTAACTATGAGTTCAAGAAAGGTGAGTTAAAATACATCTGGTGCATCTCCATTTTGAAGCTCAACTTTGCACATGTAGGGTAACAAATCAATATTGGTTAAATAATTAAAACCATAAACTATTTCAAAGGGAGGGTATTTGGTAGTGCTACAAACAACCGTATTATGTGCAAATTTTGTAAATGACAAACAATCCTCCCAAGTCTTAAGATTCTTATCAAGAATAGTCCTAAGAATAGTTGTCAAGGTTCTCTTAACAACCTTGGTTTGATCATTCCAACTTACCTACAAAACATGCCAAAAGTGGCTTAAAAATTTAACATCAGTATCACTAACTATGTTCTTAGTCAATAGTATGTTTTGCTTCATCAATTTTGTAACAAGAAATAAAGTGAGCCATTTTACTAAATGGTTTGACCACAATAAAGATGCTATCACTGCTCTTCCTAGTCCTAGATAAACCTAAAGCAAAATCTATTGATATATTAATCTAAGGACTATTAGGAACAGGTAATGGATAACTTAGCTTGTTTACCTGCTATGAAATTTTTTGTTGAAGTTGAGTGAGATAAAAATCTTAGGTTAAAGTTGAGTTTCAAACGCATTGTAAAACTTTATTTCACCTAAAATTTTCCATTAAATCAACCTAAGATAATCAAATATAGTTGATAAACTTTTCCCAAGGCCACTATAAATTAAATAAAAAGGTTTTGGAAGCTTTGTATGTCAAAGCCCTTAGTGATGTAGGATGACACTGCAATATTTGCAAAAAAAAAAAAAAAAAAAAAACTCACGACGACTACGAAGGAACGAGCAAATGCCAACGAAAACCTTGCAAACTCAAATGAACTGACTTGCCTTGTGGCACACTTGTTTCAGATGAGACTTGTCGGAGGTAGAGTGTGCCATTTCAAACAATGGCTAGAGTTCCGACAGTAGCGGTGGCTAAAGCCTTGGGTAATGGCTAAGGTTTCTAGAGACCAGATTAAGTACGACCTCAAATTTTGGAAGAATATAAACTTCATGTATTTCTTTTCATATTCTCTTGTATTAGATCTTAAAATACAAGGTCCTCTTGCATAAAAGAAAGACGATCTTCCAATAAGGAAATAAAAATCATAAATATAAATAATAAACATACACATAACATACCATCTATATTAAAAAGATATAAAAGGAAATTACTAACCATTAAAAATATATTACAGGGGAAGCTAAAGAATAATGTATAAATAGTTGAATGAAACAAGATATAATAATAATCTTTTCAATAATAGAGTTGAGTAAAAGGATCGTTGAATATTCTCTCATTTTGTATTAATCATTAAAGATGTGTTAAACTTGTTAGTTGTGATTATCTACTTGCACTGATCATTCATGATGGGTTAGACTATGTTTACCTTAAAGGTACTTTGATAGCTCTGGAGTGCAAGGCGATATTCCCACAACATTTTCAAATCTAACGAATTTGCGGACAGTGTAAGAGAATTGTCCAGCTTTGTGTTTACATAATCGATTTAAGAAATTTTTAGAACCCACTATGCATCACAATGGTTTCTGTTTTCTTTTTCTTCTTCTTATGGACAGATGGGCATCGGACAATGAACTTACCGGCAAAATACCTGGGTTCATTGGGGACTGGTCAAAGCTCACTACTTTGTAATACAATACTTTCTTATGCTTATTTCCACCCACCTTTTCGAAACAGTAAAAAACTAGAGACTGAGAGAATCTATTATTTCTTTTGTTCTTTGGAGAGGTATAACACTTATCATGATAGAACAATCCAATGGTTCACTCATATTGAGGATGGATTAAAATAAAAAGAATCTCCCTCTCAACCCTTGGGATATTGAAACGTTGAAACACATGAGATGCTTGTGGCCCACTCGTTGAAACACCATGGATCAGCCCTAACTTTTGAGGTCCACTCGTACAAAAAAAATAGCTCAACCCCTTAGCCAAACCCAGCTCCCGATCAACCCCATCGACCATGCCTCGTGGAGCCAAATATTTCCCATTCGTCTAACCCACCTCCATAAATGAAAGTCCACCTCCCCCACATAAACTAAAGGCCACCAGCCCCCCACCCCATTTTTCGTCAACCTCCACAATCCCATCTAGTATACCACTTCTTATTTCCGATCCACAAGTTGTGATAGCATAACAAGGAAAACATGCCATCATCATAAAGAACCAAAAAACCTTCCTCGTCTTAACCTTCATCATCCCTAGAATAAAATTCTCCACTATCGGCTCTCACCAAGAAACCGATGACGAATATACATCTAGTTCTCTTCTCCTCTCCACAGCTCCGCATCCCCTCCGGCGTGTTAGGTTTGATTTACATTTGATTTAGTTATTTGAATTAGATTTGATTTAGTTATTTGATTTAGATTTCATTATTTTTCGTGTATTCTGTAACGCTATATAATAGCCAATTTCATTCTTCCATAGGGGTGAGATTTCTCCCAATTCTTCTGATCTTTACAGTTTTATCTTTGTTCTTAACATTTGGTATTAGAGTCATGCCCTAAACTTAGCCAAGTTAAAAATAGAAGTAGCAGTCTTCGACGTGTGTCATAATAAAAGTATGTACATGGAGAGTTCATTTGTGCAGCCTGCAATTTCGAAATTTGATGGGTACTATGATCATTGGACGATGCTCATGGAAAACTTTTTGCGTTCAAAGGAGTACTGGGATTTGGTGGAGAATGGGATTCCTACAGGAACAGAAGACATCGTTTTCACAGATACCCAGAAGAAGCACATTGAAGATCAGAAGTTGAAAGATTTGAAAGCAAAGAATGGCCTATTTCAAGCATTAGATCGTTCGATCTTGGAGACAATCCTCAACAAGGATACAACAAAGAACATATGGGATTCTATGAAGCAGAAATATCAAGGTTCGACATGGGTAAAGCATACACATTTGCAAGCTCTTTGGAAGGAGTTTGAAATGCTTCACATGAAGGTAGGAGAATTTGTGGATGAGTACTTTGCTCGGACCCTTAGCATAGCCAACAAAATGAAACTAAATGGTGAGAACCAAGGATTTGTTGAAGTAGTTGAAAAGGTTCTGAGATTATATTGTGTGTTCCATTGAGGAGTCCAAGGATACAACTGTCACGACCCGATTTTCGAGGCTTCGAAGAATCGAACTCGTGACTAAAAGGACGAAATCGAAAACAAGCAAAAAGAAAATAAAAGAAAGGAAAAGCAAAGTAAAAGGATAAAAATACCATTCAATTAAAACAAAAGAGAAAGAAGATTTGTTGCGAAAATATTACGAAGGAAATTGAAAATGTAAAAATGAAATACAAAATTAAAATCAAATATTTCAGATGGAAAATACAATTATGAAGAAAAATACAAAAGACTAAATATGGAAACGGACAAAGGACTCTAAAAGACCGACCATGGACTGACGCTCCGGAACGACACCCCTCTGTGACCGCACAGCTCTCGAACACCTTCCCGAATCGACTGGTACCTGAAAAAAAAAAGGGAGAAAGGGGTGAGTATAAAAATATACTCAGTAAGCGGCCTACTTGTAGGCTCTTTTCGCATCCTTATCTTGGTAGGTAACCACGGTCTTTCTCGGGTTTCTAAGGAGAGTGATCTAACCTGCAACTCTCTTTTCTGTATCATAAAAGGCTTGCCCATCTTATGCAGTGAAATGATCAGTGTTCTGAGGTGAGGCGCGACCTCATAAGCGAATCTGAGGGGATCGTATGGCTGGATCTGATTACGTGACTCTCTCTCTGAACATCATCCGTGGAGGTTAACTGACGACCCTCACACGGGACCATACATCCACAAAACGGGGTGCGACCCCCTATGTGCCGGTCAGCTACTGAGTCATCCTAAGTGGCTCCACGTCCCTCGCTTAGGGACGGGTTTCTACGGCCCAGGAGTCCTGTTCAGAAGACCCCTTAGCTATCACCACTAGGTCTGGGCACCTGTCACACTTCCCTATCCGGATCTGCAAAGCTCAACGATCACCGTACCGGAGCTCTGTCTCGACGGTATGGTATCGGAGGAGAGAGGGAAGTGGAGGTTCTGATGACACTATCTTCACTGCTCAACTCTAGCGGGCTACCTACAGTTACCGTGGTGACCTATTATTCTTTCCAGGGTGGAACTTGGTGCCTTAGACTTAGATTCGTGTTTCTCTAGGATTCTCGTGCCTGGTGTCACAAACCTATCGGGTTTGGAATTCTGGGTTCTGGTTCCGCCGGTAATCATTTCGCGGGTCTAATTGCACGGTATTCTAGAGGTCCCCCAATCTAGGGTCTCATCTAGCTTATTTAGCCATAAGCATCCTAAATCTAAGCTCATAATTTCTTCCTATTCATCCAGAAACATAATACAAGCAATCATCATACAAAAGAGTATACACGCAGCAGTTCATGCAAAATTTTCAAACATGCTCAACGGGAAGATAACATCCATCTTTACCCGGAGCGCAGATTTCACAGGTTTCCCAACCTCCTCATGCATACATACATTATCAGAGTCTCAACCAAAACAGATTTAATACACATTTTGTACCTAGCTTTCCATAATCATCTTATATTCGCAGTTTCTATAGTAACACGCTAAGTCGGGCTAGCTAATTTCGTAGGTGGTAGCATGCATGCTTGTTCCTACAAGTACTGTTCGTGGAAATCCAAATGGCTACTTACTTGGTCGACGCGTGCCTTCCCGAGTTCGAGTTTTCTTGACGGAATGGATTCCAACAATTCTGGAATTTTCTTCACAGGTCCTAATTCACATAATAATAGGATCAGAGTTGAAATCGGGGCGAAAAACAAGCAAACGGAGGTCGAACGGAGGGAAAAAGATCACCCACCCGCCTACACGCGCCTGCACGCGCTCTGGAGGGTGTTTTACGCGCAGCTTCCCGCGCAGTCGCTGGCGAGCAGCCGGTTCGGTTCGGTGTTCCCGGGTCGCGTGCGGAGCGCTGGATCGGACTCGGGTTGACCCGAATCTGCGCCCTGACGCGTGTCGACTAGCCAGTGGGGCACGCCTCCCCAACCCGCGGTCGCCACGTGTCACTCGTCGGTCCCGCCGCGCTCCTCCATACGCCGGCCGACGAGTGGCGGCAAGGCCTCCTCTCTCTCCTCCTGCGTTTTTCCAAATTTTCCAGAAACGTGAGTTTTTGGCGTTTTCGATCTATTTTATTCCGATTTTCTTATCTTTCAATCCGTAATCCATATCAACAAAGTTTCTACACGCAAATTGTAGATCTCATATTCTACTTCTATAATATATTTTTCCTTTATTTTTTTCTTGAACACAGGATGAGTTAAGGCCGTCCAAATATACAGAAAAACTCACATTTTCTATTTTCGATCGCTTTACCCGAAGTCAAGACTAAACTCTGATTTTCGTCCGATTCTCGTCCAAGAACTTCAAGAACCTGTGAGAATCTTAGTTTAGTCACATACCTCAAAAACTCCAGATCTAACGCTCATGAAACTCCTCACATCTAGATAAAATCGAAATAAGAAGTTCGGAACCTTACTTTGTCCGTTCTCGGATTTTCTTGCCGGAATGAGTGGATTCCACCACCCGAACTCCTTTTCCAGCACTGGGAGAAGTATTGCTTCGAAGTTTCTTGCCTTGGATTCAATCTCCAATAGCTATTTGTCATCTCTATTCTTCCTCTCTCCCAAACCTTAACTTCTTCTCCTTTCTCCGTTCTCTCACTCTTTTTCTTTTCTTTTCTCTCTCTTTCTTCTTGAAGCCCAAACAAGTAGACCCGTTGGATAAGAGTAGGGGCAAAATGACCATTTTGCCCCTATGTTGTTATTTTTATTTTATTTATTTATTCATCTAAAAATTCGGGTATTACAACAACCATCTTAACCATTGATGAGTTGCAAAGCAGCCTGCTTGTGCATGAACAATGCCTGAGTTCTCATGTTGAAGAAGAACACGCTTTGAAGATCACTCATGGTGAACAATCTGGAGGAAGGGGTCAAGGTCGTGGAAGTTTTAAAGGCAGAGGAAGGGGAAGAGACAAACAAACCTTCAACAGGGCCACAGTGGAGTTCTATAAGTGTCACAAGCTAGGACATTTTCAATGGGAATGTCAAAGCAAGGAGAAGGAGACAAACTATGTAGAGACTCAAGAAGGGATGTTGCTGATGGCTTACGTGAATATGAATAAGGCTAATAGAGAAGATATGTGGTTCCTTGACTCGGGATGTAGCAATCATATGTGTGGGAAGAAGGACTATTTTTTCAGATTTTGATGAAAGTTTCAGACATTCAGTGAAGCTGGGCAACAACTCAAGCATGGTTGTAACAGGAAAGGGTAATGTACGGTTGCAAGTGAATAGAATCATACAGATAATCACAGGAGTGTTCTATGTGCCAGAGCTGAAGAACAATGTGTTGAGTATTGGGAAATTGCAAGCAAAGGGGCTTATCATTTTGTTTCAAAATGGAACGTGCAAGGTGTTTCATCCTGAGAGAGGCTTAATCATGGAGACAAAGATGTCTTTGAATCGAATGTTCGTACTGCATGCTACATCTCAGCCTTTAGCATCCACTTATTTCAATACAATCATAGAAGATATTGAGCAACTTTGGCACTGTAGATATGGACGGATTAAAGACTCTTCAGCAAAAGAAGAGGTGGATGGTTTACCACAGCTCAAGTCTCCATTGAGACTGTGTAAAAATTGTCTAGTGGTAAGCAACAAAGGCACTCGTTTCCAAAAAGGAGCACATGGCGAGTTTCACAAATTCTCCAATTGGTGCATGCTGATATTTGTGGACCGATCAAACCCATCTCAAACAGTAAGAAAAGGTACTTGATTACTTTCACAGATGACTTCAACAGAACAACATGGGTTTATTTCTTAATGGAAAAATCAGAAGCCTTAGTTGTATTTAAAAACTTTAAGATTCATGTTCAGAAGGAAACAAACTCATTTATTAAAGTCTTGCAAACTGATCGAGGAGGAGAGTTTACTCACAAGAATTCACCAATTTTTGTGATGTAAATGGTATACAAAGACAACTGACAACTGCATACACGCCACAACAGAACGGAGTTGCGAAACGAAAAAATAAAACTATTATGAATATGGTTCGTAGTATGATTTCAGAAAAGAAAATTTCGAAAAGTTTCTGGCTTGAAGTAGTCAATTGGACAGTGTATGTACTGAATCGAAGTCCAACATTGGCTGTCAAAAATAAAACTCTAGAAGAAGCTTGGAGTGGAGTCAAACCTTCAGTTGAGCATTTTAGAGTTTTTGGATGCATCTCTCATGTTCATGTGCCTGACAGTATAAGAACTAAGCCGGATGATAAGAGTTTGAGTTGTGTTTTGCTAGGAGTTAGTGAAGAGTCAAAGACTTACCGACTCTATGATCCAACTTCACAAAGGATCATAGTAAGTAGGGATGTTGTATTCGAGGAAGATAAGAGTTGGGACTGGGATAAGATCTATGAAGAATCCATTATGTGCGATCTGGAATGGGGTGATCAAGAGGAGGCAACAGATGTGTTTTGGCTGAAGCAAGCTCTCCTAGCTCGAATAAGGGGAGGAATAGGAGACCACCAGTCTGGATGAGAGACTATGCAACAGGAGAAGATCTTTCTGAAGAAGATAATGAAGCTCATTTAGCCATGTTTACCACTACTGATCCTGTAAACTTTGAAGACCCATTGAAGAGCGAGAAATGGAGGCAAGTCATGGATCTGAAAATGGAAGCAATAAGTCCTTGATCTGGAAATGGAAGCAATAAACAGAAATGGCACATGAGAATTCATGAAGTTACTTGAGGGCTGAAAGAAGGTTGGAGTAAAATGGAAAAAGGACTATTGGGAGTCTGTTGTGACATAGATGTAAACTGATTAGTGTTTGTGTTCGGTTTAAGGGAGGAATTGTTAGGTTTGATTTAGATTTAATAGAGTTATTTGAATTAGATTTGATTTAGATTTCCTTGTTTTCTGTGTATTCTATAATACTATATAACAACCAATTTCATTCTTCAATAGAGTGTGAGATTTCTCCCAATTCTTCTAATCTTTTTAGTTTTCTCTCTGTTCTTAACACTGTGAATGTGCTGAATCTCTCTCTCCTGCCGCCGAAAATTATCTTTGCAAATACAAAGCTTGCCACTTTTCTCCAGGAAAACCAGAATGAAGCAGAGGTAGAAGAAGTCAACTCGATACTGGTAAAACTCATGCTATCAACGACCATCCAATCTTGGAACCAGGGCTAAAAGAGCACCACATATGCATCATAAATATTTCATCTCGAAAAAAGAAGGCCACTACAGTCAAGAAACATAGCAAATTGACTAGGGAGATCGCTGGCCTCCTTTCGAACATTAATTATGAGAAATCTAGCAAGTTACAATTAGATGTGTAACAACCCAAGCTCACTGCTAGCAGATATTGTCTGTCTTGGCCCGTTATGTATCGCCGTCAGCCTCACAGTTTTTAAAATGCATCTGCTAGGGAGATTTTTCTACACCCTTATAAGGAATGCTTTGTTCCCCTCTCCAACTGATGTGGGATCTCACTAGATGCCAATACCTTTTATGATTATCATCTTTTGGAATGTTAAAGACTTGGATGGGCAAAAGAGAGCCCTCATCAAGGCCTTTCTCCTCAAATACAATCCCCACTATATGGTCATTTTTCAAGAAACAAAAATGAATTGGGTTGATTGCTAGATGGTTAATTCCCTTTGGAGTGCTAGACATATTGGTCGGACATCTTTGGATGTCTCACAAACATCGGGAGGATCTTAATAACGTGGTATGACCTAACTCTGATCATCTCTGAAGTCATTTAATGTCCTTATACCCTAACCACACATATTACATTGGTCAATGATTACATTTTTTGGTTTACAAAGATCTATGGCCCCGGTAGATATCAAGAAAGATATCTCTTCTAACAGGAATTACATGACCTATCTTGCCACAGAGAATTGACTTCTGGTGAACAACTTCAATATTTCTCAGTGGACAAATGAAAAATCCAATGGAAAAGTCACCAAAGGCATGAGACAATTCAATAACGTCATAAGAGAAGCTGAACTTATTGACCTTCCTCTCAGTAATGATCTCTATACCTAATCAAACAATAGATCCCTACCCACCTTGACACTCATCGACAAATTTCTAGCTACAAAATGTCTCCTGGGAAAATTTAGTAACACCGGTGTCCGAAGATTGAGTAGACTTACATTGATCATTATCCCATTGCACTTTCCATGGGTTGTTATAAATGGGCCCCTCGCCCTTCTATTTCGAGAAAATGTGAATGAGTCACTTTGAATTTTTGCCCATGTTAGAATACTAGTGGAAGGACACGCCCCTCCGTGGATGGTTGGGGCATGGTTTCATCAACGTACTTCGAAGGCTAAAAGAAGTCTTGAAGAAATGAAACAATGAGGTTTTTTATTGTATTGCCACCAAAAAAAAAAAAAAAAAAAAAAAAAAAAAAAAAAAAAAAAAAAAAAAAAACA